GTCTATTAACTACACGATCCTGACTCATTTCTTGAGGACTGCCCATCCTGTGTACTGACTTGGGCAGGGGTGCTGTGGAGAAATAATGTGCGTGTGCAATTAATAACAATTACTGTCCATGCACACAAGGATGCCAAATCACAGCTGCATTGGCAACCTTGATTCTGTCATCTCCCAATCTTTAATGCTTGGTTTCATAACCTTCATGTTTTTAATGTAGTTTTTTACAATAATTAAAAGAAAGTGTATTACAAAGTTACAAAAATATTCCATATTTAAGAAAGCAGTGATCAGTTACCTGATTTACTGTAGCTTCAACTGCTTGCATGTAATGGTTTAGTTGTCTGTCCATTCTGGCATATTCTAACATCACATTTTCCATAGCGTTAACCTCCTCTGTATCATCTGCAAAACAAAATATTCTGTATGTAGGTGCTCATCGCTATTTTACATAAATGAGAACACAACTGATTAGGAGTTAACTGAAGTTATCTGCAATTGTTTTAAGAGTAAATATGAAAATACAATATTAGGGATGACTTACATCCCAATGAACATAAATTCTATTACGTGAAGATGCATCAAGCCTCTCATAATTTAGTTACAGCTGAGATCCATAAAGGGTTAAATAGTTAGTTTTTAAAATCTCCATAACTATCAGTTTAAAAGCATATATCTTACCATTTACAATTAGCTTAGTTAGTTCCACATATAGTTGAGCTCTATATATAGGTTAGTTTATAGAAATTTCTTATTATGAGATATCTTTCTAAAATATGTTTCAGCCACAAAGCAGCTGGGCTGCAAAGAGGAGTCATGGGGAAAAAAAAAAGATAAGGTGATCCATCAAGCAATCATATAATTATAACGATTCTGCCTGGCATTAAAATCAATGAATGAAAATGTACTTTATGTCCCTTGATTACCCTAGATAAATTATGATTGAACTGCAAGTCACTGGAATAGAAGTTTAATATACTCATGCTCTGCATTTGACCAGGCTGTGGCAATTAATGCCATAAAATGTAATGCCATTAAATTATTTAATTATGTTAATTTCATAACGGCGAGTCAGTGCTTTTCTTTCTTTGCAGATACAAAAGACAAATAAAATAACCTATGAAGAACTTCTTAAATTTGTGAATATAAATGTAGTAACAATATTCAAGATTTGTATTTTTCAGCAGGTATTTTTCACGTTTCTCAACCTTAGGTTATATTCCTTACCTATTTTGCAATGATTAATCATATTACATTTCTTGAGTAACTTCAACAAACAAGTTACTCAGACAGACACTTCCCTGGTTTCATGCGAGTGAGAGTGTGTGTGTGTAATTTCAGTTACCAACACCTAGTCATTAGGCAATCAGGGTATTTTCAGCAGAAGTTGTATTTCGTGACTCATCACATAGTCTGAGAAATATTTACTAGAAACCTAAGTGCCCTCTCTCATCGCACTGTAGTTCAAAGCTATAATTAGTCCCCTTTCTCCTCGATAAATATTCATATTGTAAAATAAAAACCGAGTCGGCATTTGATAACTCTGGAAATAATCGGGCTAGAAGATCTATTAGGTCCCTTCCGACCCTGAAACTATGAAACTATAATGGAAGACTGAACAGTATAGACAAATTGAATAGTAGCAGTTCTTAAATGTTGCCTACTGAAACGCAGTGAACACAGAGTATGTGTTCAGTAAGTCACATTTTACTTTTGCATCTCTCTTAATTCACCGTCTTCATCTTTAATTATGCCTCTAGCTTCCTGTTTCAGCTGTTACCTTTCACAAAGAGAGACCTGTTTCCTGAATTATCAAAGTGTACTTTTTTCCAGTAGAATTCTTCTTTATCATACGACACCATCACAAAAGGAGCACAACTTTCTGTGAGATCAGGAGTATCAATCGTTGTAATTCCCTCCTCACAGAGCTCCCACATGGCCTGGAGCTTGTGCAGAACACAGAAGCAGCCCAAAGCCTCACTTATATAAACAATCCCAGGCAAATTAAGCTTGTCCTGGGTCCTTTACACTGACCGCCTAGAAAAGGAGGATTGACCAAAAGCATTAGAACAGTGGTTGTCAACCAGGGGTACGCATACCCCTAGGGGTACTTAAAAAGGTTGCAGGGGTGCACAGAAATGATTTGGCTGATAATGTGGCTGATAAATACAGAGTGCGTGTGCACAGTCACAGCACAGCATGCAGGCAGCCAGGAGCGCAGCCCAGAAGTGTGGAAAGCAGCTGGGTCTGGCTGGTAAGCCTGTTGTGAGGGAAGGGGCATTGGCAGAGGGCAGATCTAGGCCCCAGCAGTGGAGGAGAAACTGGGGCTGGGGCTGGGGCAGGGGTTGGAGCTGTCCAGCTGGGGAGGGACACAGGACTGAGCTGCGCACAGGGGGAACCTACCACTACACGCACACCCGGGAGGGCATGAGCAGCATGTGCCCCCAGGCCTGCACACGTGGCGCAACTGCGGGCTGGGGCTGAGGCAGAGGCAGGCTGCTCCTGGTGGGGGTGTTGGGCTGGGCTGGCCTGTGCTCGGGGTTGGCGGCACTGGGAAGGGGGCTGGGGGGCTACAGCAAACTCTGGAGAGGCTGCAGCCCCTCCT